AATGAGTAAACACAGCTAAACAGGCCTCTTTCTCTTCCTGCAGACTTCCCAAAGTTTGGTGTTTTCTTTTTCTCTTTTATTATGTATTGTCTATCCTAAGAGAATGGTACAGTGTAAGATTTTCAAACCTATTTCATCATTACCCGTTCATGCACACCTGCTAATAGTCTCCTAGAGTAGCCCTTCTCCTAAGAGCGATTTATAGAATTGCTGGACAAGTGATGGGCAATAGGTAGACAATCAAGGGGGAAATGAAAGGAGCATAATCAACATTGATGCAAGCCAGAAAGATGAAATTCCATCTCCCATTATATTTTCCAGAGGATTTTTTTTTAATGTATTTGAATAACTCTTGATTTTCTACAATGAATAAAGGAACTAGTATTCATAAACTTTCTACAGGGTATAAGATTGTCAAACCAAAGAAAAGAGCTAAAACATTTATTTTAGCCATTCAAGTTATCATTGAGGATAAATTGACTTTAATAACCCTATTATTACACACATATACACACACACCACACACATACACTAACACAGAAATGCACACACACCACCTCCACACATACACATACACACACACACATACATATACACAATGACAAACGGTATTTTCATAACTTTACGCTAAAGAGTGAAGACAACCATTTCAGTATAACTTCTATACTGATTACTGGAAGATCTGTAAAATTCTTTCTAGAGGCTTCAGACATTACCAGGAACATTCATAATGGTGTGAAGAATGTTAATGTACACACACGAAATACAATTCAAATGACGAAATTACATATAACATAAAGATATATGTATGTTATCACTTAGGGATATTTTGGACAGTCTGTTGAAATAGGAAATTAAAAATACTAAGACCACCAGAAGGTAATGGAAATTGACTACATAGCAGTAGACTGAAGAAAAAAAGAAAGAGATTTGTGTATTCATATTTGGGAACAGATGGATTTTTTAGTGCTGTCAAGAGTTAATACCTACTTAGTGGCCCCAGAGGTGGACAGGTCCCTGCATTGTTTTTGTGGAAGTTACATAACTTTTTTGGAGCTGTAGAGTCTCTTAATTCTTACTTTGCAGAGTTGTAGGGAAGACTTGAATTAAACGTTTATATAATGGGCCCAGCTCTGTGCTTGGTACATAGTAGACTTCAACTACATTTCAGCAATTATTACAATTAAGATTGAACTGTTGGGTAACTATTGCATGCTAGACACAATGTTTGACCGTTATCATTCAGTAAGTGTGTTTTTCCTGATAAGTTTGACAGTCACTGCCACTAAGATTAACGACTCAGAGAAGATTACAAAAAAGTCAGAACACCCTTCCATGTTCATCTTCCAAGTATACCTACTATCATCAGCATAAGTGCTGTTAACGTTCGCAAATTAAGCCATTCTCCTTTTGAGAAGTCAGATTCTCCCATCTCTTCCTCAAGGTGTGGAGTGATTTCATGTTAGTATGACTTAAGTACGAAAGTCAGAAAATTGACTTCTGTTTTTCCAGAATCAATTTCTTTGGTTCACTACTAAAATCTGTAGCCAAAAAAAGAGAAGAATAAATGTATAAAAATGTAATAATGTATTTTTTTATCTAGGTGAAGCTAATTCAATGTCAATTCTGTAGTAAAATGTTTAAAATATAT